CATGCTGATCTTTCTTCAGTGCAGTTCTATCCAAGCTCTTTCTGTTACATGCTACTAATTCCATTCCTAGAACTGAACCTTTGTTAATAGAGGTATAAAGCTTTGAATGGTCAACTTTTTGCTGATTTGTTTTTCATGACTTGCGTGCCCACTCGGAAAGCTTTATTCCGTTTTCTCCTCTTCTAGTTGTAAATAGCTGTTCATTGATCTTCTACATGGTAGGGAACTTTGACTGGACCTTGATAGCTCATTACTTCCTCTTGTTAAATAATCAAAAGTGCCTCTGTTCCTTTGGATTTTGGGATTTGGCCATCATTCCTTGGAGGTGAAGCTCCAGATTAGTGGATTCAAAAACCATGAGAAAACAAATTTACAAATGAGCAAAAAGTTCCCTGTTCACATAAGATTGGGCTTGACTTCTCAAAGTGAGGCTTGGAAAACAGAGAGAGGAAAAATAGGAGAATGCATCTGATTTTTTTTTTTTCCACTGATTTATTTCCCCACACTTTTGAGGAAGGAGAAGGGCGATTATCAATTTCCTCATCTCTCTGATCCATTCAATTGTATAGTTATGGTGATTCGTTGGTTACCTAGAGATTTTATTCAAATTTAAATTTCAAGTATAATTAGCTGGATAGTTCGGCAATCTGAGAACAGTTTGTATCTTCTTCACAGCTTTGTCGTCTCAGATTTGACTTGCATTGAAGTGGTACTATTCTGATCCCTTCAATGATCTTGATGATTGAAACAATAGATAGGTGAACAAACCATTTTGCCTGTGCTAGAGATGAATATTCCATTTGTTCTAACACTGATCTCACATTGCATTGTAATTAATAACTTTATTTCATGCGTATTATGTTTAACACTGACAAACAATTCCTTCTTTGTCTCACAGGTAGTTGAACTACAAAACAGATTATCTGAAGAATCAAAGAAAGCAGATAAATTAGAATTTGAATACAAACTGCTGAAAGAAAAAGTAGACAGCCTCCAAAAAGAAAAAGATGTAAGTGTTTAGATGTTGCTTTTTTTTGGTGGTGGTGGAAACAAATTTGTATCCTTATTACTCTGGACCTGCCAATCAAAATTACCTGTTATATTTCTTAGTTCACTTCCAATTGTCTGTTGTCTGGATAAAATATTATATACATGTAATAACTATGGAGTTTGATAAACCAATCATCTGGTTTCAAGGTAACTACGAAAATGTGTGCAATAGATTTTAAAAATGAAGAGCCAAGAAGACACATTTTTGTCTTTTCTTCTCAATATCCTTTTCTCCTGTCCCTCCCCATGCTGTGTTTATCTAACCTCCTACATAGATTCCTCATGTGAACAGTGTAACAAGTTTTTGCTTTGAGCATTCAGCAGGGGAAGACTCAGAAATCTCAAATGTAATTGTAAAGTGTATTTCATTTTAAACTGGGTTTGAAACATTCAGAATATTCCTCTGGAGTTAACTCAGAAGTTTTCTTTTAAAGTAAAAAAATCTTCAGTGTAGCCTCTACATAGTCCCATTTGTGGGATCAAAGTGCATGTGCTGCTAACTTTTGGAATCTTCTGGAGGGCAGTCTCAATTGGGTCCACTCACCCCTCCTGTCATCCAGGGCTCAGAGGGCAGAAAAAGAGAAGAAGCCTTAACTGCCCTTCCATAGCTTCTGACCACCAAAGGTGCAGCAGAGAACTGCTTGCCAAAGCGCCCGAGACCCCCAGATGCACCTGGGTTGATAAGGCATGGTGGAGAGCATTCATGAAGATCAGCTGCGAAGAGTTGCTCACCAACGTTAGCTTTGTACCTGGATGGAGGTTGAAGACTGTACTGGAGTTCTTGGTCACTTAACTCACATCCTAGTTCTTCTGAGGCAGACTGCACTTGGATTTTTACCCTAGACCATCCTCTACTCCACCTGCAGATCTAGTTGTCATGTAACTCTGGTATGGAGTGGGCAGCTATCCAGGGCTGTCAGTGTCAGAGTCCACAGTTCCCATGGTCCTGGAGTCTGGGATAGCCAGTACCATCAACGCCATTTCTGGTTGTAGTGAGACCTGTTGATGCCAGAGACACCGAATAGCTCCCATCCTTTGTACTGAACCTTCCTGTGATCTAATTAACCATTTGGGCCTGGCATTTGAGAGGGCCTCAATAACCCCAACTTTAATTTCTTCCCACATGGAGGTGCAGACAATCTATATCAGGTTCCTGAGAAGGACATGAGTATTTTTAAACTCATACAAACCTGAGCTGTTAGGTAATTACACTGGCCAATGAGAAAAAGCATTAGGCTGGAGGATCTTGTGCAGTGTCTTGACAAAAAAATGATTAGTGTTTTTAAAATATGTTCACTGACACAATTAAGTCTAATGTTTTTAAATACCACCTATCACCTGGAAGAGACAGGGCTTAATAATTTTTAAAAACATGTTTGGTGACTGATCAGTTCTAAGCCACTGTTAAATAAAATGTCATCCTGGGAGTTGCTGCTCCCTGATCAAGAAGCTGGGAATCTAAATGTTAGTCTCCTGAATGTTGCAAATATTAACAGATGAGAAACACTCAGAGGGACAGATATTATCCTTGCCATGTTTTATGATTTTATTTTCCAACCAACATTACCTCAATCTTGCCTGGATTGAGCCGCAAGCAGCTAGTTTTCATCCATGTCCCAGTCTCAACCGAATGCTCAACTAAAGGTCAAGGCCATTGATTTTCTTAGGGGTTATGCTGCTCACTAATCTACCACCACTGGACGTATGCAGAGGCCCTTGAAGAAGAAAGAGAAGTTACTTACCAGTAACCATAGTTCCTCACCAGTAACCATAGTTCCTCAAGTGTTTTGCTTCTGCATATCCCATTCCCCACCTGCCTTCCTGACTATTTCTGAGCAGGGTTAAGAATTCCCATATTAGGGGAAGGAACTGAAAGTCTGTTGGCCCACTTCTATTGGCTAGCTAGGAACCCTGCACAAGAGGAGAGGAAGGACAGTGTGAGTGGCCCTGATGGGGATACTGCTCTCCTTAAATTTCTGGAAGTTCATGGTGCAGGTGTCTTGACCCCACAAGTGTAGATATTCAGACACAGGACTCTCAAAGAACCACTGTTATTGGTGAGTAGTGGCTCCTTTAAAAAAAAAAAAAAAATTACTGCCCGAGGAATGAATTGGGATTCCTTGCTATGAAAGGCATTTCTAGCAGTGCACATTAAGATGAGAAACTCTTTGATAAAGTGCTGACAATGATGTGCATAGTGGCAACTTGCCTAGAGTTAAAGATGGATTTGTAGAGCTGAGATTAATATTTATTGTCCTTCCAATCACTCAGAGGTTAAGAACGGAAAGAGATTCCCTAAAAGAAACTATCGAAGAGCTTCGATGTGTACAAGCACAAGAAGGGCAGCTCACCACTTCAGGTAATGGAGAAGGAGAAACCGAAGTTACCTTTTTCTAAAGAACATGCACAGAGGCTTCATAGGTGCAGGGTAGACAGGTTTACCGTTGTTTTATAGTTGACCAATGTAACATCCACTAACTTGAGATTGCAAAACAACTTCTGCTATAATCACATTTTTAGATGTTCAGAACTTCGAACCTTTGGCTGAAATTTTCCATGCTTGGTCTCTCCTGAAATGTAATATTTTAAAAAAGTTTTAGGAGTTTGATTTCTAAGTAATGGCAGTAAGAAACCAACTCACTTATCTCCAAAAAATTAGCATTAATGTCGTAACATAGTTTTCCTAAACTTATGTTGTGCATATGGTACATATGGAATATAAATCATTGCATATATCACATCATGCAAATATTTATATTGTTACATAAGCCAAGGAATAAACCATAACTTATTTAAAAAAATAACAAAACAAACAAAAAACCCTTTGTCTAAAATGGAGGAAAATGGGAACAGAAAACCTGTTCAAAAATGGAGTTATGTTCATCTTTCCTTCCTATTATAGCATGACTCTGTATTATTTCTCACATATTCACAAGGAGCATACTGTTTTTAATGTTCTCTTAAAATTTAATCCTGTTGAACAATATTTATCCATAGCCTTCTGAAATAATTTTTTATTATACTTTCTGTTCATCCTTTTCTTTGTTTATGTCTGAAACAGGATTGATGCCACTGGGAAGCCAGGAGTCTTCAGACAGTCTAGCAGCAGAAATTGTTACTCCTGAAATCAAGTAAGTGAAATCATGCTTATTGTCTCCATAGAGCTTAGG